CTTCTCTAGCAGACACAAGTCAAGAATGAACAAAACTCCTCTTATTCCTTTCACAATTACATGATGAGAGTACACTGCGAAGTTAAATATAGAGAAACAAACATATAGAGAATAGAGAAGGTGTAATTGAAGTACCAAAGCAAATAAAAGTGAGTTTCGCTCATCATTCGTCAAGTCTAAAATGTTGGTTTTGCTTAAATTTTTCTGCACTTTTCAAGTTTTGTATTATGCTGGGCCATTATCCGAATGTTTGATATCTGAACGAGGATGAATTGGAAGAGGTAATACAAAGAAAAAATCCATCTGTAATTTTGAATAGCCTATAAACCCGTAACACCATATGCAATTAAATTAACAAAATACAAACATTTATTTACCAAATGTCGAGACAACGAGCAGAAGTTGATTCTAAGGATGGAGGATCAACCATGATGAAATAGTGGAATCCCTTTTCGTCCTTTGGTCGGACTAAACGAATTTCATCCATCGTATCATGGATGTCGATTGGATTACAGATTCCAAATGATGGAGAGAATCCATAAGTTGAAAGCAATTAAAGACAGGGGGACAGTAGCTACAGTTGATGCTTTGTAGGGGGGTGTGTGTGTATATATATATATATATATATATATATATATATATATATATATATATATATATAGAGAGAGAGAGAGAGAGAGAGATGGAACTTGGAAGAGTAAAATAGAGAAAGAAATTATGAACAGTTAATATCTTAAGAAAAATTAGTGGAGAAATTTTTGGGGGAGTGGATAAACTTTTGAAGCGGAGGTGGTGGGATCGTACCTTGTAAGTTATACCAAAGAAATTTGAGGAGCTTGGAGGAGTTGGGTTTAGACAGTAAAAATTTAAGGAGCTTAATTTTTTTATGTGCATTGGATGGTTGTAAATCTTAACAAGAATAATGATATCTTTTAAATTTCAACATGTAACTACTATTAATGCTTATTTATATAGTATTAGTAATAGTGTAAAATGAAAAATTAAATAAATAAATATATGGTATAAGACATAACTTTTAAAAATAGTTGACTAAGTATTTATGATATTTAATAATAAGGTTAAGTCCAAAAATAGTTGATATTTGGCTCATTTTTAAGGTATTGATGAGATGATTATAATGACATAATTTATAATAAAAAAATATTTTTAATGTCTTTTAGTTCATATATGATTATTTATGTTAATATGATAAAAATGTAAAATAAAAAATGAAAAAGTAAGTATATCAAATAAATTAAATAACTAATTATAAGAGTATAAAGTGTAATTTATAAATTAAAAATAATTTCATCTTGATATTATCTTGGGACGTATGGATCATGGTGTGGGAAGTTGGTTTTCATATAGCTTAACGAAGTTGAACACAATATATAAAATCTTGTACATTTGAAATTTCAAGATAACTGCAATCTTGGAAGTCATATAAGCTCCTCTAAAACTTGTACATCTCCCATAAAAATGAATAGTTTTTAAAATTTCAAGAATAACCATAACTCTTTTTTTTAAATATAATATAGATACTATAGATAAAGGTGTAAAATAAAAAAAAATGAAAAATTTAAGATATTAAAAATAATACATTATATATTTATGTTATTTAATAATATGTTTGAATCCCAAAATATTCAGTATTGAGTTTATCTTAAAGGTATTGATGAAACGATTATAATGGTATACTTTGTAAAAAAAAGAACGTATTTTTTAATGTATTTTATGTATGTTAATATGATAAATGTGTAAAATAAAAAATGAGAAAAAGAAGAGATATAAAATAAATTAAATAACTAATTAAAAGGGGATGAAATGTAACTTGAAAATATAAAAAAAATCTTATTTTTAATTATCTTATTGAACTTGAGAGATTGTGAATCTTTTAAACTTGTACATGATGCACCAAAATTTGTACCTCCTAAAAATTCAACAATAATGTGTTTTTTTTTGGGGTAAGTACTATATTATAAGTTTAATGTACACACTTTAAAACTTCACAACCTCTTACATTTTCCATATTAATTAATTATTTTTTACTTTTAAACATTTTTAATTTCTAAATTACACTTGAATGTTGCATATGTATTCAAGTAGCTTATAGAGATTGACATTTATCGTAAAAATCCTGCTTGAAAAAAATAGTTGATATTGATTTTGATTGATTCAAAAAAGCAGTCGGTACAAAACACTTTTGATTGCTATTGTGAAAAACTCATTTGCTCGAAAATTCACCGAAAGCCAAGAACCTCGATTATCTGGTTGAGTTGGTGAAAGAAGGGAAACTTAAACCCGTAATAGACTCGCCAAAGAGGTCACGTCAAGAGCATCATGTTCTTATATATACATACAAGCCTGTTTTAAACTTACTTTTTAGCTATTGTACAACTGTTATTTTTATTTTTTATTTTTATAAAGAGAGCTATATAAGTAATATTTTTCCATAGAAAAATATTTTAGGTGAGTTGATTCCCATTTTATAAAAAAAATATTAACATGTTTAAATTCAAAAGCATGCATTTAAGTATTTACTGTAAATATCAAGATTTATCGAGAGACACTTTTTTGGCATGTTCTCGTCATTTGATATAATGTTAGCATCTGAGAAAGCCATTAAAACGAATTCCTCTAATGATGAATCACAAACTTCAGCTTCAAAATCATAGTAGCAACTAAAAATAAAATTCTCAACTTCTATTCTATTCGACAATTAAAAAACTTTAACATTAATCGCTGATTTTTTTAACGAGAGGCGTTTAGACTTGATTGCTTGCACCATGATTAGTTTCAAGAGTCTTGGAAAAATTAGTGACTATGAGAAAGATCCCCATAACAACATCGACTATTAATTGTTTTCATACAATGAAACATGTTTTTCATAACCTTAGCACCAATTTGCTTTTTATTCTTTCTCACATTCTACATAAAAAAAATGTCAAATGGATCCATATATATGTTTTATTTCATAAAACCTATTTGTACCAGGTGTTTTTGCTTACATCTATTCATAATTTGCACTCAACTATATTGTACAGACATAGAACTAGCATCGTGACACTGCTAAATGGAAGACTTTTAGTTACAGACTTTTCCCTGGGAAATCCGTAGTTAAAGAGATGATTCGTCACAAAACCATCACGAAAGTTAGTGGGTAAATTGTTGGTTGGTAATTCAAATTAGTGACAGATTACCCACGTATTTTCTAGATGATCCATAATCACCGACAAAAATTCCTCTGGATGATTTTTATGGGTAAATGTCATTTGTTTTGTAGTGGAATGAACCAAAGAAGAGACAATATGAAACATAATTACCATTTTAAATTCTCAACTTTAAATCAAGATGCACACAGCTTGGCATGAATACCTCACTAGTCTTTCAAAAATGTTTAGAAACGATTCGTAAGAGCATCTCCACTGGTAAAAAGACTTGATGAAAAACTTGAGAACCATTTGATGAAAAGTTAATCATTGAAGCAATTAGGAGTGCTCAAAAACCCTGCTAACCCGATCAACCCAACCCAACCCAACGCGAAATAACTCAATTTGAAGCAATCCGATGTCTGATCAAGTTGTAGAATTTTCAAATCATAGGTATTGGGTTGACATTGAGTTACTATTATCTGAATCCAACCCAACCCAACCCAACCCAATAAATCTGATATCCTTTTTATTTCTTGATTTAATATGATCGTTGAGTTTCTATTAATATGTACATTAGAAGATATACTATCACGTATCCTCTTCATAGACACATATTTTGAATCTATTCTCCATCTTTATGTAACTCATTCATATATATGTTCAGTAACTGTGAACATATATATATATATAAATTGAGAAAATTAATTGATTGTGATATACGTAAAGTTTAAGAAGCATGATAAGTTGTATCTAATGGTTGGTGATGAAAAAGAAAGTATGAGTAAAGAAATAACATATTCAAGGTTAGAAGAATATTTTAATGTACCAAAGTTCAACCCGACCAACCTGACCAACTCGTGCGGTTTGAGTTAAGATTTTTCAAACCGCAAGCATTGGGTTGGATTGTTCAAATGTTTTCAATCCGATGAACCCAACCCATGACCACCCCCAGAAGCAATAACTTGAAGAATTGATTGACATCAAGAAGCTTGGAGGATGACAAGTGTTCGAAGATTTATCTATGTGTATTAAAAATACTAAAAAAACCTTTTGAAAGACTTGACCATTGAAGTAAGTACTTGAAAATGATTTTTGTTTCGTAGACATATGATGTGACAAATATATCAAGTATTTTAAAGACTTAAAAGCCGTTTACCAAACGCTTATTTGGGTAAACGTTTACCAAGTCACATTACCTTACGGATGAATATGGTAAGGACCAAGAATCTTACCCGGTAAGAGCAAGACAATGACCAAGAGTCTTACCCAGTAAGTGATGACGATGACTCTTACTACGTTTAGCACTTACCAGATAAATTGTTGTATGCGATGTCGTTTTTGCTGACTAAAAGCTTACCCAATAAGTAAGTGATAGTTTTGAATTTTATTGGTAAACGCTTACCAAGTAAGTATTTGATAAACGATCATTTAACCATTATGGATGTCCTACGAGTATTTACAATGAAAGGGTTTATCAACCCATCTCAAATTTAAAAACCGATTCATCAACCCATCTCGGATTGAAGAATCGGTTCATAAAAATAAGTTACTGTGATGATGGGACAAACCCCACCATATTCTATTACATGTTTTAGACGGCTAAAAAGATGAACCTGTGACACCTCCTGTCACCGTATCATTCCCCTGCAAAATGCTGACCCCTCTTTGCTTTACAAATTCCTATTGCCTTAAAATTCCTTTAACTTGAAATTACCAACTTACCCTTGGCATGGATTCATCCAATATTCCACCATTTCCCCCCTTCTGTTCTTTAAACCCACCAGTCTGAATGCCCTTTACAGTCATTTCACCCGTCAACAAACTTCACAACCCTATCCACTCCACCTCTTTCCCCCTTCTCTCTCTTCAAAAAGCCTGACTTACTTTCAAAGTTATTTCTTCAAATGGAGAAAGACCTGTAAAATTTCTTTCTTGAGGTAATGGCGGACCAAATTGCCCTTACAACTCCTGTAAAAGTACCAACCTACCACCTTACTTTCTAGATTCCGTCAACAAACCGTCAAAGATCCCCTCCGCCACCGCCACCGCCACCGCCACCGCCACCGCCAGAGCCAGAGGCTTACGTTCGTTTTTCTCCGGCGACGATATTCTTGGATCACTTTCTTTCATCATCCTTGAGATATATATGTATAGTGTTGTAAGTATGGATTAAACGTGTACATTGAAATTGTTTGTGGAGTAATGGATTTGGTTGAAGGAGTCGGTGAGAGTTCTTCACCGCCTAAGAGTTTTGGAAGTTTTAGCGCCTATGCGATAGCGAATGATGTGTATAATCGGTTAATGGAGATTGGCAACGAGGAAGCTACTGCTCATCCTGAATTTCGTGATCGATTGGAAGCTCACTTCAATAGGTTACCTGCTAGGTATATGTCGATCATCAATTTTTGTATCTTTCTGTTTTTATATATAATTTCATCTGCAGAGATTTGCTACATCTCGAGTTTTTGAGTGTGTTTATGTGCGTTTAGGCTCATTATTTTATTGAATATAATTTAGCCTGTGATATTTATTTATTTTTGGCGCATTGAATTTTTGTTTAGGTAGCTTAACAATGCAAATATGGGAAAGTGTTGCCAGTGAACTGTTTTTGGATTCTAGGGAATAGAATTTGGTGATAAATTACTTATATTGCTCTAAAGAATACTTGCGTGTAGTTTTTAACCCTTTTGTTCCACTTTAGTATGTTTTTTTTTTGATAATTTCTGTTTGATGTGGATTTCAAGCTATTTTGGGGATTGATTAATTTACTATGTGTAAAAACAGCTGCCGGTCAGCTAGTGACAATGCAGTTTTCATTATTGTATTCTCTATTTTTAGTAAAACGTATTTACACACACAGACAAATATATATAGGAACTAGTGCATTATTTTAGATCATAATGAGTCAAAGTTGCTATATAAATGTACATGAGTGCTGTCTTTGCTTTTGTTGATCGTGTTTCAACTTTCCATCTATTGATTCCTATTTTAAACCAGAATCAAAGCTAAATTATAACCAAATTTTCTGTAGTCGTGGTGTGAAAACAGTCTCAATATATTTGTCTAATTTATGAAAAAAACGTTCTCAACTTTAATTGCTAAAGTCACTTAGAAAATAGTTTTTGTCTTCCCTTAAAAATAGCACATTGGAAATTCTTATGTGTCTTCATGATTTTAAGTCTGCATTTCCATTTTCTGATGCACCTATCTGTGCCAGTTATGCACTGGATATCAACTTGGATAGAGTGGAAGACGTATTGCTACATCAGAAGCTCCTTCTCTCAGCGAAGGATCCTGAGAATCTGCCTGTTTTCCATGTCCGCTTTTTGGAGGTAATGGTTTTAGTTTGACGCTGTAGGCTACTTACTTCTTACTAATCTATGGGTGTTAGAACTGTATGTCCCTCATTTACCTTTCTAGAAAGTGGATAATCTGTTGGTGGGTCCTATAAAGGCTATGGATGATTGAGGAGTTCATAAACTATTCTTTGGGATTCCCTACATTAAGCCTTGCCTGCTTGTTTGCATCAATTATATTTTGCTAGGCATATTGTTTGAACTTGAGTAAACTTTTGCTAGAAAAGAAGCTTACCTTCAATAATTCAACTAGCTAACAAGCTAGACAGAAGCTTCTTGGGGGCCAATCAACACCTCAACAGTCGATGACGATGCTCTCAACATCTAGATGACAAAATATCAACTTCATTTATTGACATTGAAAATTTTCCTCTTTCAAGCTCATCGTTTATCAAAAGGTGGCACACTGCTCCAGAGTTGAGCTTATTGAGTTAAATTGTGTTGTCAATTCCAACTTAAGCATGCCATACTTATTTATTTTTAGCGTAAAATTTTACATTCAAGCGGGTCATAAATGACCCTTGATGACGTTGCTCGACAAGTATAATACCTATGCCCTCATCTCACAAGCTACTGACTTCCAGATAGAAGTTGGAGCTGGAGAGCCTCTGAAACAGGGGAGAGTTTCCCTCAAGGCTTTCCTCAGTAACTACTGCAACGTAAAACATATGTCGCAGGATGTAATTTATACCTCCATGCCTGTGAATACAATGCTTCAGAGGGAAGACCTAAAGAAGCTTTGTTTTGCTTAAGCGAGTGATGGAACTGTGGATCTGTGGCCTGTGGGGCACACATTCTTCAACTTCCGTCCCTTAAATTTTTTATGAGAAAGACAATGGAACCTGACCATTTAGTTGTTATGTGTATTGTAAAACCAAGATGATTATATTCAGTATCCTTGAACTTTTGTGGTAGTGCATTACCGTCTCTCTAGCTCTGGAAGCAATGATTTCATTGCCTATGAGGTAATTTCAGCTGAAACTTAAGGTGTAATCATCTGCAGAATATGAGTTTGTAGTATTGCACGGGTGCTGACATTTTTCTACTTTCATTAGGTTTAGTAGTAAGGAATGTTTGACAGAGGATGACTACTCACCTCCTTATATATAGAAGGGATTGGGGAAGTGGAAATGCTGGTGTAGAGATGTATGGTTGGTTGTATAGGAAAGTATGATGATGGAAAGATACACAAGAAGGTAAATGCGTTATACGGAGTTCTATCTGTTTGTTTGCATAAGGAAAGTAAACAGAATACCGGTGGTCCCACTGATCTATACAACATCTGTTAACAAGTGATTTATGACTTCCAACCTCATCCCAAAGGCTCCATGAATCTGAGCTATATGTCCTTGCTGATTTATTAAGATTTAATTGGCTAATCTGGTTTCTTTTTCTATCATTAGGAGTCCCACCCTCAATTAAGATAAGTGTTGGTTTGAGGTTATCTGCAGGGCTGATTGTGATCGCTATGCAAATACTTGAAAAAGCATTGCTGGTGATATAGTAGTTTAATGGTTATAGAGTATTGGTAAAAACCTAGGAACTTGGGGTCTGCAAATCTGTAATATCAGACAAGGAAAAAAGTGCAGTCTAGGTTTTCATCCTTTTCATTTGGATTGTGATTGGGCATCACACCCTGGTCTTGTTGACTGCCATGGTTGGCTATACTTACACTGCATCCATACACCCACAAAGGAAACAATTGTTTAGAAGAATTTTGTTTCTCGACGAAAAATAGAGGCTTGGTATTGGAAAAAGGTACTGTTGCTGTCTGGATACAGTTGCAAATCTATCTTCCTAATAAGAAGGAAGGGGCAAGGCAAAAGCTATCCTAACAAGTTGCTGGCTTTTTATCAGCCCTTGTGCGGTAGCCTTTTTCCCTTGATAGCAAGGGATGCATTACATGCTTGAAGGTGAAGTATTGTACTTGATGAAGTTCTTCACTATTCCATGTTAGGTTATTATAAGTTCATTAAGCTTCAGCAGGGGTGAAGTAAAATACAAAAATAACCCCATGAGCTTTCATAGTCCTGACTTGTAATAATGTATTATTAACCTTATGAAAAATGATAAGGATCATATATTTTTATATACCAAATTGGCAAGATTGCCCACTATATTGTGTTCTCCAATTAGGGATGCTTCATTACCACTTTTCAAGATGCATATGTAAATTCCACCTGTAGAAAAAAACTGAATTCAAGTATCCTTCTGCCAAGCTATGTAGAAGATCTCTACCTTCTGTTGACCTTATGAGCTGCATTACTATATGTTTTTCTTTATGTCTGATTTTGTAATTCGAAGTTAACTTTATTTCTTGCCTTTTTTATGCTTGTTGGTCCTACAATTGAGCTTGGCAGAACTTCTGGACTCGAGCAGATGGTGATGAAGACCAACAAGATGTAACTGTGGGAATTGCGTTATCACATGCCAGGTATATTTAAGTGACAACTAACTTTCATATATTTCTGCTTGGCAGTTACTCTTTCCTTTGTTCCCTTCAGATGCATAATGATATACGTCTCTGTTGTCTCATATATTGCAGTTTCTGATTGTTGTTTTCGTGTTGTTCAAAGGTGCACTCTTGACTCTTCTCACGTTTATTACTTCAAAGTGACAGGAACCATGAGATGGATTTTGAACCTTGCTCGAAACTCGAGGATCTAAACTTAGAGGTCAGAAGAAATTCTCTTGACAATGACAAAGAGAATCTTGAAGGGGACTCTTTCAGAAGGTACTATTTATGACAGATCTGGTGTTTACCTTATCTTCCTCATAAGATGAGGGGAATTAATGGTTTAGCTATGTGACGAGATTTCTCTTTCTGTAATTGTCATGATATTTCTTCATAATTCTTGTGATTGTAATTTATGACCATTGTATTTCTTCATAACATCCGAAGATATTTAACTATTTATGGATGCTATATGTTTTAGTCGCTTTCCATTAATCTTTTTCTCCTGGAAGCTGTGGGTATTGGGGTTGAGGAGGCTGTCTTGCTTGTTTTTAAAATTTAAATCTAGATGTGGAAGACGAGAAATAAAAAGCTTGTTGGTGTTGATGGGGGAAAATATCTCATGTTACTGCTGTTTCACACTAATATTGAAGACCAATGATGTGAATGTTCTTATGAGGAGGATAAGTTAATATGTGGTGAATGTTTTGCAGGCAGGATGATCTCCATGTGCCAATCCACGAAGTGATATTTTCAGCTGTTGACAAGCCTAAGCTCCTTAGTCAGGTATCTGGGTGAAGGACCATATGATACTCTATTTCCGTTGTTGCTGGATTTAAACTTTTCAAATCAAAGTATACTTTTATCATGTTCTCTAGTATATGTCACAATCTACGTTATTACAGTGCTGTCTGTTTTGACCAATTATTGATCTAATAGTTAAAGCGTGTTAATTAAAAAGTCACAATCAAGTCATGGTCTCTATACCTTTGATTCCTTCCTATCAAAAAAAAAAAAAAAAGACAAATCAACTTAAAGTCCTTGTGGAGAGACCCTGTAGGACGTCTAGTTACTAAAACCGTTTCTGTTGTTGATATTGTATGTATTTCTGGATTGATCCATTGCACCATAGTTTTACTGTTGTTACTCTGGTGAGCAGATGGTACTGGGTGTCATCACTGGCAGAGCTATGTTAGAGCGAGTTAGAGCATATGCTCCACTGAGAACCTTCAATTTTTTAAATAGATCTATCATATATTTAGGCTCAAAATATGTTCACTAGTTAGTGGACTCTTTTCTCCACAAGAAACCTGCTACCCAATTCCTTGGCCACATTACTGGAATTTGGATCTTTGTGAAAATTTCCAACTGCAATCACGTGATTTGTTGGATTACTTTGGTGTTACAATTTTGTTGAATTACTTTCAAATTGCAGTTATCTAAATTTGTTTCTAATTTTTTTTATTACTTTCTTTATGTGTATAAATGGTTGATTAATCTAACTTTTGATTAATGTTCATGTATAAGTATTTATCATAGACAAAAACGACCATTGATTAGTCATCTATGTCAAATAAGAATGATGTTAATAGTTGTTTCTAGTTAGGGTTTTGGATCACGGTATAATATTCGTGATGAAATTCATAGATAAGTTTCAGAAAATGAAAATTCGTTGAGGTCACTGTTGAATCTTGTAAAAGTCGTGGTTTTATCAATATAATATCATTGTTTTTCTTATTGTCAAAAAACTTATTTTTTACTTCTTTTATTAATAAAAATATTTGATTTATCATCCTGGCTCTGCCCCTGATTGTCATATATCTAAAATCATGAATATAGTTCAATGATAAGAGACTACACAATGCCCCGTAGCATGCTGTTAGATGGGAGATTTTACCTGTCACCGTATGGCGTTTTAGCCAATGTTATCTGCCTCATAGTGTTTATTAGTTGGATTTTATATTAATATGCGGTGTAGAAGCATAAGCATGATACTGAACATTTCTTATGCTTTTATTGAAGTGTAGACACGACACTGAATAACCTGATCCTTTTCTAGCTATGTCCTGGTCAAAATTTTTTAACCTGTATTCTTTCTTTAGCTTTCAGCTTTGCTTTCTGACATAGGACTGAACATACGTGAAGCACATGTGTTTTCAACAACTGATGGCTATTCTTTGGATGTGTTTGTGGTTGATGGATGGCCTCTTCAGGTATTTCTGGCTCTTTTGTGGTGTCATATGTTAATAACAATTAGTTGTGTAACTTGTCATGTGTCTTTTTTGATCACTTATTGCGTTATGCTGTTAGCATGAGGTTCTAGCTTATTTGAACCTAAAATTTACAATTGTATAACATGTGCAGCTCTGTCTATTTAGTTGGGTCAATGCACACTTGTACTTCTCCAAGGACAGCATGCCTTGTAAAGGAACATTGTGATTATATTGTTATATATTATATATAGATATATATTGAGAAAACTGGTTTGTAGGTTTTGTAACAAATATTGGGTTTGTATTTGATATGCCCTATATATATTTTATGACTGATGAAAGATATCAATGCTAAGGTCATGTTGCTATGTTTTTGTCAGGAAACACAGGCTTTACATGCAGCAATGGAGAGAGCAATTGCGAGGAGCGAGGTACTTCATATCTAACACTGCCTACAGTGTTCACTATGATTCCAATCGTATGATCTTGTTTACACAACTCTTTTGGCTATATTTTCTGGGCTACATGGAATCAACTTTGAGGAATGAATCTCAGTAATTAGTTTGTTAAAGGTTGTTTTTTTAAAGCTGTGGTACATGAGCAAGTAAATCCTATTTAGGGGGTTACTGCCAACCATTGTTTGATATTTATATGGGGCAATAATGTTGTGCTAAGAATAAAGATAGGTTATGTAAAACTCTCGTATGGACTATGTATATGGTTGTCGTAATGTGATGCCATGCGGCCTTGGACAGATTCCGTTTTAGTCAGAAATAGGCCTACATGAAAGCAATGGGAACTTTAGACTTGTATGCTAGTTTTTTTTATATAGAACATCTGAACATTTGGTTTGTTGGTTTCATTCGTTTTACAGGATCGTTGGTATCCGAGCTTGCCAACCTTCTTGGACACACAAATACCTTTTCATGTTTTTTCCCTTTAATTTATTTTGCAAGGGTTAATGGTCTGAACTAATCCTGATCATAGATGTGGAATAAGTCTATAGAAATGGATTTGATAGGGGTATGTGGGCCTAGAGTAAGACATAAGAAGGTAAAAAGGAAACTTGATGAATTTAGACAACATGCATGTCTATATAAATAAGAATACAAGCATATAGTACAAGTCCAACTAATGCTCCGTAAATGGAACATAAGTATCTATGTTTTGTAACTTGTCATGTAGCTGATGTCGGTTTCTATAGTGGATCTATCATGCTGATAGCTAGTTACTCTGACGTGGTTAGGCTGGATGATCGGGGGATCTATTGTGGTAATCCAAAGATGATTATCATACAAGATGATGTTCACTCTCTAAAGTTCTCTGGTGAAAAATGCGGTTCTCGACCATATGGATCAGAAATATAATCCTCGACAAGTTCCATCAGGGGAGCCTAACTTGTGCAAAAGGCATCTTACAAAATGACACCCTTTAGATGACCCGTGGACCATAAATCTTACAAATGGTTATTCCATACAGACACCCTCCTCAAGACATTCTCGATATCTAGCCAATAGGAAGGCAAATGATTAATAGCCCTGAGGGTAGTCACATAGGAAGAAAACCGTCGTCGTGATAGAAGAAAATGTCTACTCATAATCACCACCTTATTCTTGAGTAGCCTTTGCTGCCTAGCACAATTTCAAAGAGATGAAGAGAGCCATAAGGATAAGGCATTGCATGAAGGTGATGTTGTAGTGTATCCATCACATTTGTAGGAGTAAGGTAGCTACCGAGGGATGTGGTGAAGGGGTAAGTATTGTTATTTTGATATAACTAACTGGGGTGGCTAAGCTGGTATGTTGGAGCATTTTACTGATGCTGCAGCCTCTTCTTTTAAATATGATGTTTGAGCAACCTTTTTCTTATTTGCATTTTGTATAACCTGGCTCGAACTTCCATAATATGTTAGGATTAAAAGTAAAAACAAAAAACACTGGAAAAAACTATTTTATTATCATTGAATCATCATTGACTAGGTAGGATGAGCTTCAACTCCCAAGGATGTTTCTTGAAAATATGGAGCGGTATAGCAAATATTCCACTATTGGTCTTAACAACCCTATAAATTGGAACCTTTAGGCTCACCGAGTTTTCTGATTTCGCACGATCCCGTAGCCAAATCCACCCTCTCGTTTGGCCCCAATTTTATTTAACTAAAATATAAAAATTCATTCAAATCATGTAGTTGGATATCTTCAAATTCAAGGTGCAGCAGGGAAGGTGAGTTTGCTTTTCAGTGTTCAACAAGACTTTATTGTAGGCGAATTGCAACACCAACAATATTTGGGATGACAACCAAAGACTACTGTGTCGTTGAGCTATGCTTTGGTCCCTTTATTAAAATGCTTAGCATCATGTAATGAATGGGTGCTCGTATACCGAGATCTTTCCTTGGGTATTTCAAACTCCACGGTACCTATTAATGATACGAAGTTACCTTCATCCTTACTAACATATTTGGTTTACTCGATATTAATTGGTGAAAGACTAGATTGATTTTCCAATTTATCTCCAATTGTCCAAGACTCTTAGCTGGGGTTCCGTAGGTCAGTGGGTATAGGGCTAAGAATTAAGTTTGAAGGCTAGTCCCCTTAATGCTCCATTAAGGATTTTAACGTTACCCATGAATGGTTGAAGTTTTTTGAATATGGAGAATATTGATCTCGATTTCCTTGTCAGCAAAGGGGATATGTCAAAGGTGTGACCCTTGCCGCAATATTCACAGTAAATGTGTAAAAGATGCATTAAATCCCTATTTGGTAGATGCATTGGAGTTTGTGACGTATACAACTTACTTTTTGGAAAAAAAAAACTAGGATGGTTCCTCCATGATTGATTGAAAGTATCTAAATATGGGAATCCTGCCCGTGGCATCACCTGAGCGAGATCGGGAGCGGATTGCTATCTTCCATATAACAAAGAGATGTAAATCATAGTTGTTGTAGTTGTCAATATCATTATATTGACATTAAGCATACCCAAATTGTGCCACCATATCAAAATTAACATATTCGTAGTCTATGGCTATATATAGATGCAATCTCTTGATGCTTGTGTTTGTGCGATAGTAGGGGTCAAGACGAAATATGGAAGTAAAAGAAAAACTGCAAAGAAATTAGTAAAACACAATAATTCCTTAAATGCCAATCTGCAGTAACGAAGCCAAAAACTTCCCAAGAGCTTGCAAATGATGTGCAAACAAATGGTAAAACATAGGGCCGCACAAATATACGCAACTCCAGACTGTTGTCAACAAGTAATGAAGTGGTAAAAGATGTTGGATATCGTAGTCACATGGATTTTGTTTTAAAAAATATTGGACGCCGTACTCACGTGGATTTTGTTTAGAAAAAGATGTGATAAATCACTTATGTGCAATTTATTGAGGGTAGATGGTTATATAAATGGCTAGTTACTATAACAAATACTGATATGTGCAATTTATTGAGGGTAGATAGTTATATAAATGGCTAGTTACTATAACAAATACTGAAAATAACAAAAAATATGGACCAAGAATACTTGGAGTTGGAATTTCCTTTTAGAAACACTGCCTTGAAAAGGTCTCACAATTGTTGCCATACTCATGCTTTGGTGCTAGACTACTTCAATGTTAATGGGTCTTTTGGCTCAAAGTTCGTTTCTCTTGTCGAACGTCATAGATATTGTATCTATACTTTTTTTGACTTTGTTGTTAGTCACTCTCGTTTCTTATAGCCATTGTATCAGTACCTTTTTTAACACGATGCCGTTAAGAAAATATTGTGTCATGTTTATCCAACAAGTTAGGCAAGCTACATCTTGGAACTGTAGTCTTAAGTCAATTTTGGCTAGGTTTAGATGGTGAGACTTCGATTAAAAGATGGAAAATTTTTGTCTAGTCAAACATCATATCCATGCTTTCATGACTAGACTTTATGATATCAAATTCATCTAAGCATTTAAAACGTTCAAACTCGTGCCAAATACATGTTGGTAGCTAAGGTAGATTGGTGGCCCAGATGATGCAACATATGTCTACGCTACAACATCGGCAATTACCAATATCACCCTTTTGCTAAGTGAACTCGGTGTACATTGAACTTGTCTCAAGTATCAAATACATAGCCAAGTAACATGTCACACTGTTGTCAATTGAGAAAATATCTACGGCAGGTACTGCATATGTTTATGATAACTACGCATATGCTTATGATAATTACAAGTCTCTTTCGAGCATTTTTTTGCGTTGTTTAAGCTACTTTCCACCATATCCAACTTACTAACTAAGCTACGTATGACTTGGACACACACTCATGATAGCTAGTCAGTGTGTACTTTTAAGCAAAACTTGATGAAATGGCCAATTAGTTTCACTTAGGGGTTGTTTGGTTGGTTTTCCATGAAGTCCTGTATGGATAAAGTTTTTTGTGCGGATTGTGTGGATGTGTGGATAAAATTGTCTGTGTGGATTAAATGTCTATATAAGTTGGGGAGGTTTTTGTTTAGGAGGGTTTTTTCATAGATAGATGGAGCTGGTATTTTAATTGGGAGGGGCAGGTTTGGAAAAAAAATTGGCTTTCTGCATAAATCGACCCCCTAGAAGCTTACTGAATAAGCTACTTTCTATATCATTAAACCTATACCAAATAGTCATGCATAGCTGACTGAATAAGCTATGAGTCCCATTAAGCTCATTCAGCTGCTAACAAACAAACAATCCCTTAGGTGATATTTGACCAAGTATTTTTTGTAGCTACAAGGGCACTTTAGTACATCGCATAGGTGTATATGTGTTGTGTTTCTTCTTTACTCTTCAACTTAGCGCGGACAACCTTAGTCTAATGACTAGGCTTCTTGCAATATTTTCACGACCCCACATCTCTTGACTTGCCTATGGAATTAGGCTTTCTAGAACAGAATGCTCACGTATAATTTCTCTCTCTCTCTCTCTCTCTATATATATATATATATATATTATATATACTGGACATTGAGAATTGTTGCTAAGGTGGTCTAGAAAGAAAGCACACATTAATGGTTGGATTTGATGCTATAAAGTAGGGATGCATTCATTTGGTGGTTTTTTTAATGAGATCTGTACTTTGAAGACATTCCTAGGTGTAGTCAGTCTAACAAGGTTAGAAGAGCTATTAAGATGAAGTAAGACTAAGATCTTGGTTCAAAAGGTGCACCATGGCTTGAGGTCGCGAAAGTAAGACTAAACCTTGTTTCCAAGTGTGTAGTAAGTGAAACAAGGTTAGAATAGCTATTAAGACAGAAGTAAGACTAAGATCATGGTTCTAAAAGGTGCACCACGACTCGAGGTCTGCATCATGGCGTGTTGTGGCACACCATCGCTTGATGTTTGTTTTGAAGGCATTATTTGACATGTTTTTAAAAGTTTGACTTAAAATTTCTATGTTGTTATGAACACCTAGTATAACAC